ATCTTCTACTTATTCTTTGTAGAAGAAATGGCTTTGATTAAAGAATCTGAGTGGCAGAAATATAAACCCTTTTTATAAAAAGTTTTTTTTTTTTTTTTTTTTTTTTTACAACAACAGTCATTTAGGAAATCACACAAGACCTTTAAAGAGATTTAATAAAGCTATTGATTGCATTATGCAGCATTAGGAAAGCGCAAAACCATACTTTGGGTTTTCATTTGTCAAGACTGGCATAAACTGATATTAGTCCATGCTTTCTCTTAATTTGTTGAAATTGTTGTCAAAACCCTGAAATACCTGGGTAGCAAGATATCTGCACCTGAAATCTTGAAGAAAGCCTCTCTGAAGAAATGAATGAAAATAATGTTGTGAGAGGCATGTAGGTAAATTCAGATTATTTTTATAGTGTCATTTCTGTAATAAAAATAGGGATTATATGGGAAAAAACATGGAGTTCATGGACTGAACAGTTTATTTCTGTGTGTCTCCTGGTTTTATTAAGGAAAACATATGTGTAAAGATGCTTGACAGAGAATTCTTGTTTCTCACTGTATGTTCTCATTTACAAGTTGCAGTGTTTCAGGGCCCTCAAATTTATTTGGGACACTTATGTATGATAACAGAAAATTTTCAGAAATTGTTCACACAGTTAGTTATTCTTCCCCCCCCCAGTCGGTGCTTTTTATCTTCTACCTTGAGTATTAGAAATTTAATACTGTCATATGTTCTGCAGGATCTAGCTCTCAGTTACATTTCAACCAGCAGCTAAACCAAATAAAATTGCAGTACATAATATTAGTAAGTGTGTTCATGCGTGTGGATGTCTGTCTGTGTTTATACGCACACTCATATTCATATGTATAGTAAGGATGCGTGTCTGTTATACCAGTATCTGCATCAGACTTCAAACCGAGGTGGTTAAACATAGTGGAATCACAGTGGTGGACAAGGTGCTTTGATGTTTGTAAAAGAGTAGGATGATAAAGGAGGGGGGAAGGACCCCCACATTTAGGGTACTCTGCATGAGAGAGTTGGATCTTGTTTGGCATTTAATCCTGCTCACTTCTAACCCTGCTCTCATTTAAAGCAGGAGTGATGTTCCCAGTCGTGTGGTGTGGGGAATTTAATGGTTTATAAGGGTGCCTAGAAAATACTATAACTGAGTGGGGGAAAAGGAAAAACAGTATCATTTGTTCAAATTGTGCAGATTGTAAGTTCATAGATAAAAAAAACGTTGAATGTTGATTCACTCTGTGACCAACTTAGGTGTTAAATTGTTAATTTCTATTTTGCACTATGATGATACTTGCTAATAATGTCAGACAATTATATTTTGATGTAAGCTCACATAGTTATGATGCCTTAATTAAATGTTTGGAAATAAAAGCAGCTGTTGAGCTATGTACGTTTTGTGTGACTTGAAATGTTTTTCATGAGATTCACGCAGAAATAGATTTAAAAAAAGTCCAAATGGTATCCTTGTATTCGAGTAATTGTGCCAGTATAGTATGTTAGTGTGAAGTTCCAACACGTTTTTGTCCTGATGGCTTTGCTGGTGATTTTATTTTAGCTGTATAGTTTTTACTTCTTGGTCATGAATTTAGTCTCTGTGAAGGCCAAGAGGTGGAAACCCTCTATTATTCCAGCAGTACACAGGACTCTCTGCACTGCTGTATCAGGAAATCTCAAGTAACAGTTTTATGATGTATGAGGATATTATTCTCTGCAAGCAATAACACGCATTTCTATTTCCCCAGCAATATCCACATAATCAAACATTCACAAGTGCTTTACAAAGAATTTAATTAAACAGTGTGCACAGTAACTGGATGCAGCATACACACAAGCTGTTATATATTCAGTAGTTCACATTTTGCAGTTAGTGCAGAACACTTTTGAGCAGTAATATGTGTGAATGATATTTCTATCAAAATGTGCATCATCACCCCTCCTTTTGTACCTTGCCCCTTAAAAATTACACTAAAACCTCAACAGATGTCACCTCCAGGAGTACAGGATACCTTCCTCAGTGCTCTAATGGTGTGATAAACAGAGGGAAACACAAATTCTCATGTTGAGACTTGAACATCAAATGTTATTCCTCTGAATTCAAATGTTTATGACTCCTCAGAGAAGGATATAGATTATTGTGTCTTTTACCACAAAACTAGGCCTGTTTGGAATTTTATTTAAAGGTAATAGAAATTTGTGGAGCAATCAAGACCGACCACTGAAGAATTTAATTTCTAAATTAACACTGAGACTTGGACATTCAGAGTTTAGACATGGACAATGAGAAGCAAAAGATTTCTCATTTTGTGATAATAAGTATGTTCAGAGTCCATCCTTCAGTCTGGGGATTAGGAAAGTCTCTTCTTTGGCATTAAAGTGCAGTGCATCCGACCCTGCGCTTGGAAAAGGTAGGAGTGTGCTCGTGCGTTGTGGTACACTTCTTAATTCATTCAGCATTATTGGTATGCTCACGTCACCTGCAAGGATTAGCATTCTGGAAACCAGCAGGGTTATCTGTTACGTTTTGGTTTGTCTGTTCAGCAAAGCCCTTTAAGAGTTAGCTGATGCAGAGAGGAGTTTCCAGGCTTGCAGAGCAACGGGGCTGTGTTGGATAAAAGTGATTTAGAGTATCCCTCTGCGGTTGTCTACCTTCAAGGCAGTTACCCGTCCATCAGATTGGAAGGTTTTATTGGTATGTCAGTGCTATAAAGTATCGGTCTAAACCAGCAGACCAATACCGATGACACAATAGTGACAGGCAGTCTATAATTAGCCTGCAAAGGTGTTTAGTATGAGATCTCACCCTAGTTTCCCAGTTCCACAGAGTTATTCCAGTTTATTACTGGTTGACACTGACAAAATCTGTCCATTATGACTGGCAAGAAAGACCAAAAACTACAAATGAACCCAAAGGAGAGAAAGGAAACAAAAGGATCGGTTAAAAGTAGGGAAATAGTTTTACCTTTGTGCTAGTTCTATTTTGGTGTTGCTTTGCTTATTTGAGGGGAATTGCTGAAAACTTAATGGGTGTAAATAAGAACAGAGACTCTCTGTATTCTTCTTCTGAAGATGCCTTTTGGAGGAAAGTTTAATTGCTGTAGGAGAAGTTAACAGCTTTCTTTACAGAGTTGAGAATGGGAGAGATCCCTGTTTAATGTTCATGAAGATTTGCCATTAACTTCAGTGATTTCACCCAGTAGCCTTTGTGTCCTTTCTTCTCATTCTTATCCCTTCTTTGTATAGCAGACAGGAGTTTTACATTTTGTATGTAATTTATAACAAATTGCAGTTATTCTAAAAAATTAGTACAGTTCGAGCTTCAACTGAAAAAGAAAAGGAAAGCATGTAATTTTGAATTTAGTCGCATGTCTAATCTTGAACACCGTGTTTTGGATTTTTGCTTTATTTTCTTTAATTAGGCTCTTGTTCTAGCATCTGCCTTTATATAAAATATTTATTCTTTACCATTTGTAGTACGTCTCTGTTTGCAATTTGGATATTTTCAGTTTGCTTGTATTTGGAAGTAGCTGCTAGACTCTCTCTGTGCTTCCACTAGAAGGCTGGTATTTTTATGCTTTTTGCAGCAGGCCCTTTTTGGGAGTGCTGGAATATATCCAAGTTTTCCATTCCTGGTATTTCAGTGGCAACTTCCTGTGAATCCTGAAGTGGAGCTCCTGCTGTCAGGTTGTTCTTCAAGCCAATTCCACCACACGTATCAGCAAGCCAAAACAGACAAACTTAGGAGATGCTTCAGTGCTGTGATATAATTGAGAGTATTATCCAGAAGAAGCAGGTCAAAATTTTTCTTCTTCAGGTTAGGAAGTCAGCCCAGAGACCTTTCATCCCACCCAGTGAAGTACCACCTAGATATACTCGTGTTCACTGCGAATGAACTAGCTTTAGAACCAGAAGTAAGACAGCCAAATGAGAGGAGTGTAGCAGCCAGGCTAATTAATTAAGAAGCCAGGCTAATTAGTTTGCCTGGAGGGAGCACCATGCTGATGTGACGATGTAGCTTCCAAAATTCTGGCTCATTTGTACGCGGGTTGCACTGGGCTTCTTGTAGACATACAAGTTATTTCTGGGCTCTTTCAGATGTTTTTGCCATGAAGCAGCATTGTGTATTGGTTTAATCCCTATGTCAATTTAATGTAATTTTGCATTTAGTTCCAGACTGATAGTCAATGTTAGTTCCTTCTCAGTCTTCTGCAGTAAGATTTTCTAACACATGGATAGACATTGTGATATTGTCTTGTTCAACCTCATGCCACTGGGAGAAATTCCCCACCACTTTTTTTTTTACCTGATGAAGGACGTTCCTGTCTTCTTCCTAATATTTTGTCACTTAGTGAATACAGAACTGAAATAATACTCCTGAAGTTTTGTATGGCACTGTTGTTCCAGCCTGTGGGGCTGAGAGGTCGCTGTCAGCAGTCCTGTCCTCAGAGGATGAATGCTAGCAATAGTGTACACTCAGAGATGCCTTGTTTGTAAGAACTGGTGATTCTGACCAGTTTACCATCTTTCTGGTTGTTAGGAAACAGTATTCCTTCAGTGCTCCCCTTAACATCAGTCCTTACATGTGGTTTGATGTGTAAGATGTTCATAAAGGAGTCGCTTTAATGAAAAGATAAAAAATACATACCAATTACTACATTGATAGGGTATTGTGAACGTGAGAAGCAGTATCAAACCCAGAAGTAAATCAACAAGGTATTGTAAATAAGCTGGATTCTGTATAGAAAACTTCAATTAGAAATACTGTGTTACAGCAATAACATGGTAATTATGTGTGAACAGATAGTGGCATAAGATAATATTTTATTAATGTTTCCTAAACAACATTACTAGAGAGCTGAAATTCAGTTTTGTTTTTCACATGTGTGTTATTTAAAATGCTTTTAGTGATCATTTATGGCCTTACTTACAATAGCTCTACAGCATAGTAGCTCCCGCAAGGTGTTAACGTATATTCTTTCTATTTCTAGATCTGTTAGCTGTGCCTAAGCACCCATATGCTGCTATGGAGAACTGGGGACTGAGTGTTTTTGTGGAGCAAAGGATACTGCTAGACCCAAGCATTTCTTCTATATCATACCTGCTGGATGTCACCATGGTCATTGTGCATGAGCTATGTCATCAGGTATTAAAGGTGTTCAGATATTTGATATTAATGTCAGAAACCATGCATTCCTTTTCAAAACTGAAAATGAATTTGTGTTGTTCACATAGACAGTTGCAACTTTTATTGTGACTGGAGTCCAAATAATACGAAGATCTGTAAGACACTTCACTACAATGTAGAAACTGGGAAAACTCAAAATGGGCATAGAAGAGAAAATTAGTAGCAATCTGTCTTCTGTATGATTATATTCTCTATGTTTGTGTGTGAGCATGCTGTTGGTGTGTAGACTAAACTTGTTGATAACTGTAGAAAACGATTTATTGCAGAACTATAACAGATTCATGCTGAGTTTCATGTTCATGTCAAAAAATGTTTTGGCTGAAATCAATTTGGTAGTCATCTTCTTCCCTCACTGTCCTGGGTTTGGCTGGGATAGAGTTAATTTTCTTCCTAGTGGCTGGTATAGTGTGTTTTGGATTTAGTGTGAGACTAATGTTGATAACACACTGATGTTGTAGTTGTTGCTAAGTAGCGCTTATCCTAAGTTCCGGATTTTTCAGTTTCCCATGCTCTGCCAGCGAGCAGGGGCACAAGAAGCTGGGAGGGAGCACGGCCAGGAGAGCTGACCCCAACTGGCCAAAGGGATAGTCCATACCATAGGACGTCGTGCCCAGTATATAAACTGGGGGGAGTTGGCCGGGAGGGGCCGATCGCTGCTCGGGCATCGGTCAGCAGGTGGTGAACAATTGCATTGTGCATCACTTGTCTTGGGTCTAATTTCTCTCTTTTTGTTATATTCCTTTTCATTACAATTATTGTTATTTTTTTATTATTCTTATTATTATCATCATCATCACCTTATTCTATTTTAGTTATTAAACTGTTCTTAACCCATGAGTTTTACTTTTTTTCCCCACTTCTCCTCCCCATGCCACTGGGAGGGGGAGGAGTGAGCGAGCAGTTGCGTGGGGCTTAGTTGCTGGCTGGGGTTAAACCACCACAGGCACATATACACATACTTCCATTTTCTTTTTCTTTTCTTTTTTTTTTTTAATTTGGTGTTGACCCTCTGTTCATTAATGGTGGATAATTGAATCTTTATGTGTACAGAAACTTTTGTATCAATAAGAAAACTTCGTAATAAACCCATATTACAATTAATTTTACATTTCTTCCATCTTCTTATCTCAAACTAAACACATTATGAGTAATAAACACATTAGTAATATTGAGTTGAATGCAAATGTTACTGAAGAAATTTGCTACAGGGGCAGGAAACCCTTTCTTGCACTCATAAGAGGCATAATCATAGCCTTCAGGTTAAAATGAATGAAATCCTACTGTGTAATCAGCATGGCTTACATCTGTGACTTTACACAGTATTCTTTAAAAGGCAATGCAATTTCTTAACACTTTCTGCAAATAAAAAGTACCATATAAAAGGGAGCCTTTGTAATGGAGTTCTGGTAGATGAACTTGGAAATAATAATGTTTGGTTCATATTCATGTTTCACATTAAATCTGTCGATTAATATGAAGTCCTCAACTACAACACGAAATTTTTATTGAAAGTTATTGCTGGTTTGTTCTCAATATGATCATCTGATTTTGTTATATGCTCTTTATTGTGCAGTACAATAGAGTAGCACACTGTTTAGCTAGAAAAATTACAGTGCCTTAGGAATCAGGTGTGGAAAACACATATTAGGTCATCAAATCCCGGCTCCTGTTAGTATTAGATTCTTGTGTGTGGTGCATTTTGTAGTGCCGGGTTCAGTGCTCCTGATTACAGGGTTATGCCGCTTCCCCTAAAGCCTTTTGATTAAATCTGATGGTCAATAACTTTTTCCTAGTGTTCAGCTTAAGTCTCCCTTTTTCTGAAGTCATTCCATTACTTCCAGTTATTCTTTGCACCTCTTTAAGAATTTCCTCTGCTTCCAAAGCAATTTATTCTTCAGATGTGGGCAATTATCACATCTGTAACTTGCCAGGTTTGTTTATTTGATTCTCATTGAAATTGAAGCCTTTTTACATTGTTTTGGGAATATCAGAGGATCACGAAGTGGGTGAAAACTATATTTGAATTTATTTTAGGGTAGCAGTGCGGTCAGAGAGTGCTTTTAAGTGACCTAAAAATTGCAAATGAGAAGGTTTACCTGGTGTCCATGTTGATATTGCTTCCAGTGCTGCTCTCTTAATTAAAAGTATCTTCCTCCAATCATGTTTCTGCTGTTTCTGTTTTAGTACCATGCCAGTCAGGTCCTTGCTCAGCTGCTTCACTGGATAACTAGCCAAGATAGAAAATAAGGAGGTGGAAGAAATATTATTTCTACTTTTTAGATGCAGAATTGAGTCACAGAGAATACGGATTTTTCATCTGCAAATAAAGTTTAAAGGGACAAACCCTCCAAAAATACAAGCCACAAAACACTTTCTAGGGCCTCCATCCTCCAGTATTGTCTTTATTTAGCCAGTTTTTTCTACTTTTATCTTACCATACTCAGAAGCCCCTCAAGGAAACTTTAGCTGTGGATAGCATAGAGCAGGAACTGTAAACAATACTAGCTTAGATGAAAAGGTAGTGAACTGAGACCAGGGTGGGTCCAGGATCTCTTGCCTTTGCTATTTAATTGTTAATTATTCACTGCATTCATCCTCTTTTGCTGTGCATCATCTCATCTGTGAACTTGGGGTGGCACATGAGTACTTCTCCCCTTCAGTCATTTTTACACATAGAATAACAGAGATTAACCAAAATCACTTCTGGCGCAGCCAAAAGTATAATCCACATCTCCAGTTTTACTTTTTATTTATTGATTTTCTTTTTAAATTTTAGGTAAGAGGAAAGGGAACTATCCTAAAATATGTTTTCCTAAAGTACATATTTTTCTTTTTTTTGAAGAATTGTATCGTTGTCCTGTTTCCCCAGATTTTAATCCTTTGACTTCAAGACTTACAGAACATATTGAGCATGTAGCAAACTAACCTGAATGAGACCCTTGTTACTTATAGTAACATAGCAATTGCTTTGCTAATGTTGTTCCCAAGATTAGAAAAATCAGACAAATATTAAGAATTGGGATTGTTACCTTTAGATATGACTGTTTAAAATTGGAATTCCCAAACCTGCTGGGTATTAATGCTTGAGCACAGTGTCCAGGACAGATAGAAAATGAGAGACAGGATTGCAGAAGGACAAAGAAATTCCGTGGTTGTTAAAATACAGGTAAAAAGTGTGTAAGAAGGAATTTTACACCCAGTTTCTTCATAGGTGACTTTGTAATGCTTGACCAGGTATTTACTTTAGGTACATGTTTTAAGAGGGACATATTAAAGTTACACAGGCAATTTTAGTTTTGTCATTTTCTAGGTTGCTAGTGCTTGATATTTCAGCTTGAGTGTTCTTTTAGAACATTTTATGTATTTAATTAAAAAAAAGAAATAATTGGAAGAAGGAGTGTTTTGGCATCAAAGCTTCTCCTCCAAGCCCCAAAACACAAATGAGATATTGGTCACAACACACATATTTCTAGCAGCTTAAGTTGATAGCTTGAAATAACTACCATAATTTATTAAAATAATTCTATTAAGGTAGTAATCAGTTTTATTTGCGTATCACAGATCAATCCCACCTACAGCCTTTGAAGAAAGTGTCATTTGAATTTATGCACCATGATTTTTTGTGATAGTTTTCCCATATGAGCACAAAACTTGGTGTGACAGATTGAGTTAAAAAGGCATGAAAGCAGAAGGAAAATTAAAAATTTCTCAATCAATTTTTTTTAATAATCTGTAAAGAAAGCATATAGGAAAGAGTGTCCTTTCAGTGTGTCTGTAAAATAAGTGCCTTCTGCATGTCAGGCTGAACATAATACCTGAGGGAGATGAAAAATTTATGTAATCAATTTATTTGAATTCATTTTTCTTTTCCAAGATTGAGGCAAATAGTGTCTGTAGTCAAATACACAAATAAATAAATAAACAATTACTTAAATAAATGAAGTGCTTTACTTAATGTTTTCTTTTCAGACATGTAACACCTAGGAAGATAATAACACTTTTCTGCTGGAAAATTTGGCTTCATTAATTGCAGTCTCTGGGACTGCTCTGTCTCTGACATTGATAACTGTCTCTGATACTATTCAAGACTAGTTAAGCAAATTCCCTACATTTTCATATTGGTATCACATGCTGTTTTAATGCCTGTAAAACACTTCTTCCTTTAGGTGGATAATTAAATGAATACTTTTAATTGTATCATTAATAAATAAACCCAGAAAACTCACAAAGGAGTATAAGAAATTATCTTTTGTGACATCATAAATTAATGTTATTCTTTTGAGTTACAAGAGGATGTATTATGAACTTTACAACCTTTATTTTTTAAAATCTCTCTCTGAATAGTCATAGCATACCATGACTGGTGCTGGTTTCGTATTTGTTCAGCAGTCCTCTTGTAATTCAAGATATAAAATCTGTGCTATTGTGTTTAGTCTGTTTGTCATTAGAAATCATTTAATAGACCTATTCTAGTATAAATATAACTTTCACACTCCTCTGGTGGTATGCTACTCTAACATTTCAAATTGTGAAAAGTGCATTATCTATATGAAAGTATTTCCAGTGTTTCTTTGTCTTTTCAGTTAAATGTTCTTAAGATCAGGATTTATCTCTATTGGTCCTGTAGAGAGTTAATTTACTGATAGCCTTCAGCTAGATTATGATCACCGAGTTTAGTTTCACTTGGTGTGTGAATATGACTTTTGTCAACCTCATCTTTTCTCCCTAAGTTTTTAAGTTGGTTGTCAGTGAGATTCGTTGTCACGTTTTACTTCATTTTTTCGTTCAAATCCTATTTACTGAACATTGTGTGGCAATCTGGTAATCTCAGTTTCTGTAGTCTGTTCTTTGGAGCCCCTGTATTCACTTCACTACGGATCCTTGTTGCAGCATTGATCCTTCCTTGGCACTATTCTCCCTCCACAAAGACATGCACAGAACCGAGACCTTTCATTCACGTCCCAGGCAAAGCCTCCAACCGTCATGAAAGCAAACCGCTTACTGGCCAACTCCGCTTTCATTCGTTCCCCACTCTCATTTCGGTGTCAGCAGCAGCTCCTCTGCTCTGACGTGAGTCTCTCCCCCTGGAATACTTACTCGCTGCTCACTTTTGGTGTATTTTCAGAGCTTATGACTCCATAAAACCTCAAAATTATCTCTGTTGATTATGAATTAATCTCATTTCTAATCACCTTAAACAAAAAACTGGCAGAGAATTTTACTGAAAGAAAGTTTTGGTATTTGTTTGGCAAAAAAGATGGTACAGAGGGTATGAAACATGTTTTCGTAATAGTGTATGTGTTTCTGCTCTTACCACTGGTGTTACGATGATCCAGGTTGCACAGGGCCATTACAGTCATTTAAACAGGGTCATCCATCAGCGGAAGAATTGATGGTGCCTGATTTCCTTGGAATTTTTGTCCTCATTCCTCTTCCAATGATCATCCCAGCTCTGTCTAAAATCCCCCTGACACCCACGTGTCCTGTACCGCGACAGCTTTGTGGCTGTTGACGGCTACTGAGCAGAGTATCTTATGTCCGCGTTCTTGCCTTGCCTTCGGTTTAGGTCCTTCTCTTTTCAGCTGCTGATCTTCATGTACTTTTTTAGGAGTTTAATTAGCTTTGAGATCTCTGTCCTTCTTTCTAAATTAGATTGAAGTCAGTGGGGAAATTCGAGAGCGACCTGGGGTGAACGAGAAGGCAGTCAGCTCGTGTAGGGTTCCTTTGCATAAACACAGGTGGTCCGTGCCAGTGCAGACACCCTCTGCCTCCGGTTGCTGTTCGGGAAGGCTGCAGATCTCCTGTAAGTCCTGTATGAAATTTCCTAGGTCTGTGTGGGTATCTCGGATACCCTGGGATGCTTTTAAAGTAGCATCAACTACCTGTTTTCAGGCGTTTGAGTCCTACCCACGGAAAGATGGCATGATTGTATAAAACTGCTTTCCTTAGGAAACTGGCCAATGAATGGCGTATCAGTAGTGTTGTAAATCTTAGTGGGCAGGCATCGTGGAGAAAGAAATGCTAAAATTTAGGTCTGGGGTATGGAGATTGAGTTCCCAGTTTTTCAAGTTTCGCACTATAAATAGTGATGTTTCCAGGTAATGTATCAGATTACTTGAGTTAGAAGCCTTTTCTGTCCACTGTGTATGTTAGTCCCTTAAACCTAGGGGAGCATCTCCTCTAGATAACTAAAATAGACACTGCGAATAGTCTCCTCAACACTTCTTTTCCCCGGCTTGTACTTTTCTAATGTTTTACTTCAGTAACTTGTGCATCCTGTAAAGGCTTAATTCATTAGTACATAAAAAAAACAGTTAATGAGTTTCAGTGGGTGGTATATACACCACTGTTTTTATTAAAACTTGTGAAGAATGTGTTCTGTATAAATGAGATGTATACAGACATGTTTTCCTGAAGGCTGTTTATTTGAACTTCCTTTGCAGTGGTTTGGTGACCTTGTGACTCCAGTTTGGTGGGAGGATGTGTGGCTGAAAGAAGGTTTTGCTCACTATTTTGAATTTGTTGGGACAGACTACCTCTACCCAGGGTGGAACATGGTAAGTCAGGTTTATTTTGTTAATTTGGAGACTCCACAGAAAAGTTGCTCTGCTGTTATACTCCTGCTTTTGTTATAGACAGGGACTGCTGAAAAATAGCAAATGATGCATGCAAGTATCAGATGTCCAATGAAGCAAAATCACTAGGTGTGAAATAATTTGACAGCATTCCAAAAGTGTAATCTGAAATTTATTACAAAAGAAATAAGGTCGTGTCTATCATAACTCAACATTAAAATAACTACTGTCTCTCTGCTCAGAAACATTTTGGATTAAAGAAGTTATGATTTAACATGGACCATTTTTGAAAATATTCAGAATATTGAATTTTATCCACAAACCTGAGATAGATGGGAAAGAAATGTTTGGCTAAAACATACTGTAAAACTGACCATATTTTTTCTTACAGTATTCTGTTCTCTCTCTAAATTTACTCTTTTTATCTTCCTGCTACTGTTTGGCCACGTAGCGCTACATACAAAGTTAACATGGGATAAATGAATTGACAGTCTGGGTTTCAGTATGTTTTCCAGCTGTACACAGTTGAACATGCTTTGTCAACTGGTGTGCAAATATGGAGCTCTCTGAGGGCAAAGCGGGAAGGGACGTTCTTTTGGAGTCCTGTTATATCATATCATACCTGCTCAGGTCCCACTTTATATCAACCGCTGCAGTCTAGAAATACTGTCCTTCTAAGAAAAATAAGAGATACGAGATGTCAGGAGAAGGAAATTGTGTGTGAGACCATATTGAAAGTTGCTATATAGATTTTATCGTCCTTTGGAGAAATTTTTCTGTTTGCTATCCTTTTGTGTTTACATAGGTTTAATTATGTGGCAAAATATTTGTTTTATTAATAAAGGTTGCCTAATAGAGTTTTGTTGTAGCTTGAATGTTGTGTTTAAACACTTGCACACTAACTTCTGAAAATTTTTTTCCCATTTTTCAGGGATTTATTGAATATTCTTATCCCAGTAGCTTTTGTGTGGCATGAAATGTAGATGCTATAATTTTGAGTTAAAGCTAATTTTTTAAAATAGTTGTATTTAGGTATGCATCTTGTGAAGTTTGAATTATCTGTAGTATTTTAATTTTTTCTTTAGGGTGTCAATTGTGGTTTATAATTGCATTATGAAAAGGAAAATAAATCTTTATCTGAACTGACATCTGCCTTGCATAGGTAGGCTTGTTGGGTTTACGTAGCTTTGGTTTTATTAAAACTCATTCTCTTCATCTTTATGAAAAACACATCCTGAATTACAATGTAATCATTCTAATTATGAATGCAATGAAATCTGGCAGGCCTTTATGATTTCAGCATAGTGAAATGTCATAGATGACAATGTTTATACACTGAATTTTATCTTCAAATCATCAGTCATTTGTTCTTCACATAACCAGTTTAACAAATGAAGAATAACTTTGCTTTAGAAGTCATTTAGAATATAGAATATTTGCTTGAGATTTCTCTGTAATGAATATAATGTTCACTGTTATGCAAATGACATGCCTGTCACGTGAAACCCTGGAGTCTTAGCAGAATACAGGCAAAACAGTTGGGTTGAACAAGGTATGACCATTAAACTTGGAAATCAGACACATGCTGCATAAATTAGAATTAACTACAGTAGTATTGCTGTGCCTGAAAAAATATTAATCTGTCAAGTTTTTCCTTAAACTAAGAAGGTAGACGTGAAGTTTTCATAGGGCTTTGGATATCATTGGCCTCTGATATAAAAATAATCATACTGTCATATTTAAATAATTAAAGAATTGGTGGCAAGATGGAACACTTAATGAGTTAAACATTTAAACATGCTGCATTCAATTAGCAATTGAATCAACACTGTGATGTTTCAGCCTTATTACAGACATTGTAGGAAGAGGAAGCAAAAGGTACAGTTGCTGGAATTTGGCTTGCTGGATATTTTTATGATTGGTATAAACTGCATTTGCTGTTTAGAACATACTGACATTTGTAAACTTGAAAAAATAAGAAGTGAGCATTTATAAGAAGAAAAACTGTCCCAAACAGCTTATGTTTTTTCAAAAGTGAAGGATACAGTACAAGCTTCATGAATCAGTTGCAAAAACAAGAACTACAAACCTTATTTTCTGTAATAATGGTTAAACAGAGCAACATTCCAGCATTCTGGGTGGTGTTTTGTCAGCAGTAATTCGTACCTGTGTAATATAAATAAAAGATGTTATGGTGTATGATACCACAGCTCTTTGCATCAGGAAAACAAAGAGTAATATGCCACAATCCTCTTTCTAAAGAATTGGGAAAGTTAGACAGTTAACTTCTTTCTCTTGTAGTTCTGAAATGTTACCCTTGAAAGTTTGCTCAAGAAGTCCATGGACTAAAATGTCAATTTCAGCTTATTTTCAGCTCATTAAAGACTTTTTGTCACATTTTTGTTTGAGTAAGTGTAGAAGCAAAAGACTGGTGGTCAATTCCAGAAAAAGGACTTTTTTCTGGAAATGCAACTAGGGCAGTATGGATACATCTGAATTAAATGGATCTATCCCCAGCTTCCTACCTAACTTGTTGGATGCTTGTAGGCTACAGGCACACAACGCTTTCACCATTAAAGTTCTGTAAACCCCTAAAGTTTTACTACTTGTCTGAAGATGAGTCTCTTTTAGTAGAGCTGAGCATTTTTCAGTGTCCGTCTTATTTGGCATTCAGAGTCTTGGTATGGCTGAACCTGAGACTCTTTAGGAGAGCTATTCATTAGGCATGTTCACACCATTATAACTTAAACCAACAGCACTGAGTTCTGCACAAAGCAGAGAGCCATGGGTTTTATCCGAAACCTGTTTTCTGGCTTTTCCTTCTTCTCTAGGTTCTTTAGCTTGCTTAAACATTTCTTCTTCCTCTGAGGTTCTTGATTTTATCAGTTTTTCTTCAATTGTTTTATAAGCTCTTCTTTTACCGCAGGAAAGATGGATGGATAACAATATTGACTGAACTGCCATGGAGCTGTAACGCTTTACTGAGCTTTCCAGCAGGTCTAGAATTTCTGGTCTTGTCCAGAAGGTGTTTGCATACTTCATCAGGCTTGCATAATGAGAAGGGAAATCCAGTCCTTATTAAACCCTTCCCATCCTTATGTCCGGGATCCTCCTATTAAAATTTTGGGTGAAGAACAGAATGAACAGTCATTCTGACAGAGGCGTCCATTATTCGTTGCAGTTAATGTAAGACACATGAGAACTCTCCCGAGGAAGCGGACAAAGTTTTGCTTGTTTTAAAACAGGAAAGTGAGCTTTCTGTGCTGAGATCCTTCATGGTCCACCATTGGTCATAATAGCCTTTTTAAAATATAAGTTACTTCAAATCAAAGCTAGAACTTCTCATTTCCATCCCTCAGCTAAAAAATAAGTCCCTGCATGTTACCTTTTACCTCTTGAAGTTGAAGCTACCTTTGATTTTGCAGGAAATATGTCCCTACTACACAGTCATTAGACAATCACAATGGAAATTAATTCACCGTTCTTCACATTTCAGCCTCTTACCTTGCCTGTCCCCCAAATGAAGTTTTTTGAAATTCTTATTCTGAAATGTCTCAAATTCTTAATCTTAAATGTCTTTCTTCAAGGTTTTGGAAGTTTAAACAATTGTTTCTGTGTTGTCAGGATGGTTTTAAAAAGAAAGCTGGCACTGCAAACTGTTTCCCCCAGAGGTCAGGGAATTTCACTTGATAGTGTGTGCTCAGAGTAGTCATCTGTGTGTGAATTCCCTGGCTGTTGCTATTTCAGGACTTCGAAAGAGATGAGGTTTCTGTATTAGAGGCTTACCATATAACTGGTTGGTTGTCTCTCCATGCCATCAAAAAGCAACAGCAGCTGGATGTGAGTTCTTGGGCTGTAAGATCTTGTGACTCGTACGACAAGGTAATCTCACCTCTGTGGAAGGTGCCTCTGCTAGTTTTAGGATCAGAGAAAAGAGAAAATTACAGCAGAAAGCTACATGCTGGTCATTTCCACTTCATAGCCCTGTCTTTTCTCATCTACCCTACTCATGTTCCTCCTTTCAGAGGCCCTTTTGCAACTATATATTCCATCTTCCTCTCTGCTTGTTTCTGTCATCATCCTGAAGTCCTTTGTATGTGGCTCTGTAAAGGAATTCAGCTGAGGCTTACAGATCCAGGAATTTTACCTCCTTATTCTCTGGTGGAAGGAACCATAATGTTTGTCCTTGAATGTCTCTGGTATTGGGGTAGGTTTTGAGGACTATGACAGCAGGAATTACTGGCATGTAATTTTCCCTTTCATCCATCAAACGAATGTCAAATACTTTAGTGGTCAGTACCCGGCTTTTTGCTGAGAGAGCATTTCACAGAGCCTTGCTGCCTTCTCCCTTTTCTTTATTATAATAAAGTTAGCTTTGCTGACAACTTTATTGGCTGAGTCAAGGTGTAGTACATCAGTGATATTTTTTAATCCTCTGCCTTCTCTATCTATTGAAGCTCTGGGATAAGATCTCCCACTTTCTTGTGTGCTTACTACTTTTATAATTAAGGATGGTCAGATTTGCCAGAAATTTTCTTAGTATTAAACAATTGTGATTAAAGTATATGGAGTAAAACTTTGTGCCTACGTGGAAGGGCGTCTTTCATCTTTCTTAAAAGTGAACTATGCTTCCTTTACATTATTAGGTTCCACAGTCTAGATGATCCTGCCGTTACTACAGGCAGCTGCAAATAATAACAGGGTTGCATATCAACATTTCTGTTTTAAAAATACTTGCTGCAAGAAATTACCTTTGCCTGAAAAAGTTAATAGAAAACCATTTAACTGAACTTCATTACATTAAGTACTTTGAACATCAAGCAACATGCTGCCCTAATTCTTGATAAATGATCTTAATTGCCTGTCTTTGTCATTGACTCGATTGAAATAATAAAAGTGAATACGGCCATTAGACACATGCATGTCTTTAATGTGCTTTGACTCAGATTGCCTCCTAAAGCATTTGTCTCCATCTGTAAAGT